TATCTATAAATGCTGATTGGGGCTACGGATCTGTGCCTTTCTATCGAGCTCCACATGGTTTCTACCGACAATACCGTAATTTCCACTACGGTTCTCCTTTCTACCGCCGTCCTCGTTTCCATTACGGCCCACGTTTCCATCATGCATATGGACCTTATGGCTATCATGCCTCATAATCCTGTCAGAGGCGCAATACGAGGGGCTGTTACTGGAACTTTGATTGGTGCTCATCTGAGCTTATAACCTTTTTGATAAGTGAATGTAACCGTAATATTATTTTTTTATTTATATAAATTTTTCAGTTTCAAATATTTATTTTAACTCATTCCAGATGCAAGTAAAGAACAAATATTGTTTTAAATACTTATTGCCATTGTTGATTGACGCAAAATAAATCTTAGAAACGTTTGTGGAATGGCTCAGTTTTGTTTTTTCCCAAAATCACTGTGTTCACAAAATTTTCAAAAAGCAATAAATCAGTTATCAATTTATCAAAAATATTTGGGGTGCCGCCGATTAGCCCTTTGACACTTTGAAACAGTAAGGCTAAATTTTATGTATAAAACTCAAATAAAGATTTGTACAGGAACTCCACATGCAGTATTTTTAAGGGCAGGAAAAGTACATAGGCATGTGTTATTAACTCCACGTGACCGACACATCTCCACGCTGACATCTTCAATGTACTGGTCCTAACTTCAGTAAATCCAGGATAGAGGTGTTATTATCAATAGACGCACCAAGGCTCAGAACGGAATCCTTGCGCGTCAAATTCTACTTAATTCAAAATCTAACAAAAGGTGCAAAGGAACGATGGGCAACTCCTTTGAAAATGATTTGACTTTTCCGTAGCATGCACGTACATCATGGAGATGTAGTTTCTCACATATATGACCCACTCGTGGTTGGTAATCATGAGAATTTTTTTCTTATAGAGACTCTTAAGACTCTAGAATGAAGCTTTTCACTTCTACAAAAATTTCCCTGAAAAATTTTCGTCTTGTCTCTGCCATTGGAAGAGAGCTTTCAAAATTTGTCTTTTAATTTTTTTACTGCAAAGTCAAGTGTGGTTAAAAATTTTGACTCTATTATCTACTATGTTTCCTAACTTGCGCAGTGCAGAAACAGTGGCGATGTTCTCAATCAGACATTCAAAAACATCCGCGAGCTTGCTCAAAAAACTTTTGCATCCAGTTTTCGACAATTTAAGTTTTTCAGTCAAACTCTTCAGTATGATGGCAAGAAAAGTAGAGAATACTTAATATTAAAGGTACTGCACATTAAACAACACATTCGTAGGCGCTACAAGAATTTAAAAATTTAAAAAAAAAATCTTGAAAATGGTGTTGACTCTCTTGGCAAAATACGAAAGGCTGTTGCTATAGAA